CTGCCCTTGGGTGTCTGTCTCTGAGTCTCCCGGTGGCTTGCTTCAATATGTCCGAATTTGGTGGCCAGATTCAGCCGAGCCGAGCCACCAGCTTCTCCAAGTTGGTATCCAGTATGCGAAAGCGCTCGAAAACCGCATCCAGTTTGCGGTTGAGCTCGCAAATCGCTTGAGTCTGAGTGTTGACGGCCCTGCCCCATCCGTCAGTCAGGGCGATGAGCTTGTCGATTGCCAATTGTAGCATCATCTTTTTTTCACGATGGAACAGGAAGGTGCCCAGGCCAATCAGCAGAAAACCTGCCACCATAAATCCAAATAGGTACAAATCTTTTTTCTCGGTTTTGGAGGAAAATGCAGAGAGAGGCTCTGAGATAGTTTGACAGAGACGGTACAAGACATAGAGCAGTAGCAGGGCAGATAAGGGCAGGAAGGGAGGAAGGGAGCAAGGGAAAAAGCGTCCGCCTTCTTTGAGAACAAGTGTGAAAAAAAAAAAAAAAAAAAAACATAAAATCAAATTTCTAGAAATGCTGAAATAAAGACAGAACAAGACAAGATGGCGTCCGTGGGTGGACACGTCAAGAACATTTGTGTTCTGTGAGAATATTCGGTCGACAGACTGCGCGGTAGTCATGAGGCTGCGGACGCCAAACCGTGATGTCAGCGCCATCAGGAAGAGATTTGGACGCTGTTGGTGAATAACGTTGGCTAGTTGTCACTCGTACTCTACCGAATTCTTTTCTCTGTTAAAGAGAACGTTGATGTTGTTAAGGTGGAGAAAAGTTACAGTAGATTCTTCTTAGTTTTAAGGTGGAGGAAACCTCTGCGTTCTGGAAATGGAGAAAATCGGAGAAAAGATTTATAGAACATTGTCTTGGTGTGGAGCTGGAATTTGGATTTTCACCAACACAGAAACATGGACGTAGAGTCTTGTCTTGGTGGACGTGCGGAAAATCCTCATCTTTTCATTTTGCTTTTTTTACTCTGAGTTTTCAATCTCCAGTTAGATTTCCTCTCCCTTTTTAACCACTGTCAGTCTGTCTCTGTCTCCGTCTCCGTCTCTCTCTGACTACATCCTCTCACTACTCCATCGCCATCTCGTTGAGAGTTTCGTAAACACATCTTTGCTGCTTCTGCCTCGCTGTCAGAGCTGTTTCTGTCCGATTGGTAGTCTGTCTGTCCGTCTGTCCTTCTGTCTGTCTGTCCATCTGTCTGTCTGTCTCATATTAGTTATTTATCAGAGACAAGAACAGAACAGGGGACCACATGATATTTTCCCTTTGATCCTCACAATTTTGAAATTCAGTCCTGGGTTGGATAGTTTTGTGGGCTGGATCTGGCCCCCGGGCCGCAAGTTGCTCAGTGGTCTAGATCAGTGATTCTCAACCCACTAGTGTGCCGTGGAAAATTATCCACTGTCAGCAATTAAATCTGCTAGGTGGCAGCAGATAGCTATAAAAACTTTAAAAAAAAAAGAAAAAAGATCTTTGTGTCTTCAATTGCTGCCAGTATATCAACGTTGACTTCAACTAAACAGGCCGAGATTTTAGTAAATTTTGAGGTAATTTCAACCGGAAGATTATCATATTTCATTACATACTTTTCGTATATTTGTTTGGTGGTGTGCCATGGGTTTTTTCCTGATGATATACTGTATATATGTGCCGTGGCTAAAAAAAGGTTGGGAAACACCGGTCTAGATTTAAATACGTAGAAGTGACTTTGTATTTATTTCATCATATCCAATATATTTTTTAATATATTGGTTATGTCAAATGTTGGGATATAAATGTGTTGGGACCGAAATATTTTTCATAAAAAGTATTCAAAGTTGAGTAGTATTTTGTATGGCGTCGGCGCCGAAACCGTCATTAATATTAGAGCAGAGCAGAGTCATAAATTATTGCGCTTTAGTCAAAGTAGGCGAAGAGCGCGGCTGTTCCGTATATCTACAGTTCGCTAATGTGATAAATCTGTGAATTAAAGATTTAAAATTATTTGATAAATTAGACTCCAAACTTTAACTACCTCAGGACATTGAGATTTTTTTTTAAATTTAAGATTCTGACATTTTTGTTTTAAAAATCTTATATTAAAAGTCATATATTATATATGTAATAATAAAAAAAAACCTATTAAAACCTTATTAAATAATTTATTTTAAAAAAATCACATGTTTCTATCTGTATTTAAGTCAATTAATTTTCGGCTTTTTATTTTAAATGACAGTTTTGTTTGTTTCACAATAATAAAATGTTTTGTTTTTTTTTTCTTTTCTGACACGAAGCCTTTCCGTAGTTTCACCCTGGTTATTGTTCTTGACAGACGTGGCCCACTTAGTACTGCGCTGCCTTCACCATCCTTGCTGTGACCTGTGAACAACATATATATATATATATATATATATA